GCAGACTTAAAGGACCGGATATGGGTTTATGTTTTCCTTATGTTGAGAGATGTAGAGAGTGGGGGAAGTGTGATGGAGTAAATGAGGATGAGGTACTAGAGCGCTCTGATCCTAAACGCTAACATATGGTGATTTTGTTTTTGCATTTGAAAAGGTTTGATGAGGGTTACCATAAATGGCCATTGTGTTGGTCTCTCTTTCCTGTCTTTCTTTAGAGACCAGTGCTGATATTGGGGTTCAGATTTCACTCAATGACTAGTTAACTGTAATCTGATTTAGTTTATTCGGGTTCAGTACAGAATGACAGTGAGGTTGAGAGTTCGGCTAGACTTTGAACGACACTGGTCATTTCTCATTTAAAGTTAAGTGCTTTCTGGTGAAAGCCTTTAGGAATGTTTCTGGGTCATATTTCACCCAAAAATCGAAATAATGAAATATGCCTTTAAAAAATTTGCCTATTTTAGAGGCATTAAGATTTTTTTTATCATTATTTACATGAAAATGAAACACTTTCCCTTGAAGTTATCTTTACCGTAATGTAAAAATCTCATTACCATTACTATTATGTTGAAAATTTGTCTTTTTAAACAAAATATTTAAATAAGACAAGATAAAATATTGTATTAGTATAGTAGTTTTATTGTAGTGTAAAAAAACACACACACAGTAATAAGAATTACCAGATAGAATAATCATTGATTAGTAATGTGAATTACAGAAAAATGTAGAAACTCATTAAAATGAATGAAAAGTTGACAAGGAAATGTGACTTTGATTTTTAATTGTCATGACAGTGCTAATAAATATAAATAAATAAATAAAAATATAAGAATTGAGTTCATTTTCTTAAAGGAAATGTATTTATATAAAATAAATAAACAAACAAATAAACATTATTTATTCATTTATTTCATCATTATTCATTTAGTTTTTTATTTATTTAATTTTATGCATTTTTTTGGAGTAAATTATCAACTGGACATGGTTTTATATACTGCATATAAGGTATATAACCTACCTAACCTATACATTTATATTTTGAGTCATTAAAAATAATGTTTTTAGACATTATTAAAACATTTACATCCATTTTCCAAATAATCACTTTGTCATGTTTACTGGGTATTGCTGTAGATGTTTTTACTCCAGTAATACCAAAGTCCTTTTAAGGTAAGTCATTTCACTCGGCGGCCATCTTTGAAACACCTCTCGTCATGCAAGTGCAGCCCCTATCTCTTTGAATGGGGAAACATTAAATTCTCCAAAATGGTTTGCCAAGCTTATGATTAAATTTCATATTTAAAATCACCAATGAAATCTGACAACAACTGTCTCATAATTGTTGTTTCTTTTGCTCAAATAGCATTAAAAAACGCTTATTTTTCAGGCTAGACCAGCCAATGCGCAGTCAGAAGCGCACGTCTCCTAACGCTGACTGTTTCTATAGCAACCAGGACTTTTAACGGTAGCTGCAGTGACGCGATGACTTTACCGATTAGCGATTGGCTCTTTTATTCCGAAGGCGGGGCTTCCTTTGATAGAGCGGCCATATTGAGTGTTGCATTTTACCCAATTCAAAACTATACGAGTGACACGTCTTGGGTATTCTATAGTCTTAGAACTTGTAGTTTCACCTGAAGACACATTCACACCTTTCGTAGAATTGTGTGTTTGTGTTCAAAACAGACCTCTTAAACTCACCGCCTGTTTCTTGTGTAAATGAGAGGTTTACTAACCCTGAGGTTTACTAACATTGTGGCCACTCATAGTATTGTCATTATGAAGTATGCACCCCTCCCAAGAAAATGTTTGCGTCAAGTTTCATCAGGATCATCAATCCAGGAGCAAATCCAAAAACAATCCACCGGGACATAAACGCCAATTAGACCCAGCCCAGGCAAAGCTCTTTTGTGTGTCTAGATGTGGCTTCCATGAGTTTCCACTGTTAGAGTATTTAGTTGCTGAGGCATGCGTTCCATCAGCCATGCCAAAACCTCACAATACATCCACACAGCCACTGACAATCCTGAGACGTCTTACAGATGCCTCTCATATCTCACATTTTTTTGTGTGATTTCCCTCACACTGGCAACCGGGATTAGACACTGCTTGTGTTCAGTTTTTTTTTCTTTGATTGATTTCTAAATTGTCCGGGTTTGACTTTGTTTTCCTACTGACATGCTCTCTACAGTCATTCTTTATATGTACATGTATTTGCATTTGCTTGACCATTCCCTATAGATCCCGCCTTCTCGCACGCCACGATTGGTCGATTGTGTCCAATGCCTGCACATTATTGGTCAGACTACTTATTAGTAATTACCTTCAGCAAATATGAAAACGATAAGAAAACAACCCCAAAAGCGTAGCAAAACTTAATAAAACATAATTTATAGCGCCTCCCATCCAATAAATCCGATTATTAATTGATTATAATCCGATTATCCAAACAATCCAGTTTTATGACGAAATTCAAAGAATAAATACCATTTTGGCACTCTTTAATATGGCGTGACAGATCTCTGTAGCGCCTCAGTTCAAGCGGCATGTGAACGATCATCTCTTCATATTTACTACCAGTTACAGCACAAAATAAACACGAATGAACATCAGAAGATATGTTGAAAGGAACAGGAAAAAATTCTAAATTGAATTGAATCACAAGCTTGTGAATTGAAATTTGTCTCAATACCCAGCCCTAGGCGCTTCATGTGTTTTGCACAAGGATGATGTTACCACGTTCTGAGTACAAAAACCAGTTTGGACCATATTCCGTTCCTCCTGGGGCATCTGATCTTTAACTGATCTTCCTCAGAACAAGATTGCAGAAGTTCATTTGATGGACTGAATGTTCGACATCTATCACACCTGGCTGAATGAAGGCTTGTTCCGGTGACAAACGCACATTCTGAGATAAGAAACTCGTTGAAATAGCTGATTTCAGATGCTTATGAGAACTTTTTTTTGTGTGTGAACTTTACAGCAAAGTCTGAAAGGAAGGAATATTACAATAAAGGTCGGTCAGTTCACATGCATTTGTGTGTACGTACATTCAATCTGCGTTTCCTTTTCCAAACTCAGTGTTGCACTAATCTTATCTCAGGTCTTTTAACATCCACTCGCAGGTCAATATGATGCAGTAGTTTAAATTCTTTGATTTTACTCACAAAGCAAAGGAATGTTATCATCTTATTACAGTCACACCGACTCCTAGAAGCGATAGTGACTAGAAAGTGGTTTAACCTGAAGGTCGTAGCACATTTTCTGTGAACGTCTCTGTGTGTGTGACGAAACATTGTCCATGATTCCAATCTGCATTTGTAGAAACCCTCCATCACTACCATCTCAAAAGACATCTGTGTGCCCCAGTCAAGGGATCTACAGAGAATGTGAGAGAACATGTCTGGGTATGTCAGTTTTCACTCTGAAGCGTTGTTTGGTGCTATTTAAGAGAAGTTTCCACCGCTGCTTTAGAGCAGATGTTGTGCGGCAGCGAGACAGAGCTGTTTGTTCATGTGAGTCCTTGGAAGGTAAAGGATTTATTGACCTTTTATTTATTGCCCCCTCTCATTGTTAGATGAGGTCTTACCTTTCGATTGAAGTCATTATTTGGACCAATTTGGAGAGACAGTCAGTCTGTGTATGTATGTTATCAGAAGGACCATGTGGCTCATATATTTCCCAGCTGATACGGGCACATCATTGTATCTCTAGGTTGTAAATGAGTAATTTACTGCTAATCTTATCTAAATATACGGTTATGAAAATTATATTGTGTTCTACATAACTACTGAATGGGTCTGTGTATTAAATTTGACCCTAAAGTAGCGTTTAGCCTTAGCTTTGAGTGTTTGTCTTTGATTCTATTTGATCTATTTGTTGACTTGACCCTTTAACACTTGCACTCTCTATTCGTTTTCTAACTGCTTGTTTTCTTAAAAAAGGCCTCTTACACTAGCTTTCTCTATTCTTTATATATATATATATATATATTAGTGCTGACAAATGCTTAATCACGATTAATCGCATCCAAAATAAGTTTTTGTTTACATTGTGTACTGTGTATATTTATTATGTGTATATATTAATACACACAAATGCATGTATACATTTCAGAAAAATGTTATGTTTATGTATTAAATATATTTATATATAATATAAATTATATCAATATAAATATAGACATGTA